GAGTTTTTTTTCTCCCACTCACCTATTAGGGCAATCATGCATGACACATGTTATACTATAACATGTCCATATATAATAGGCGGGTTATATATGTTCTCTTTTTATTGATATCTATATCTATGGTTATTGTAGCTAGTATGCTACAATCCTGATACTAAGCTCTTTCTCAGCAAATGCAACGAGTTTCGGCATCTCGTGCTTATCGATGAGACCGTTGCCATTGGTGTCAGCAGACTTCACCCCACGGCTCCCTTTCCAGGAAGCAAACCGACCTCCGTTCTTGCGGATTGCTTGACGGAGTTCATCTCGGCTAATACAATTATCGTGATTAGTGTCGTATTGTGCCAAGTAATTTGTGAACTCCGTAATCGTCATCTCCGTCTTTCAATCGGAATGACCCCCTGTCTTATATTTAAGTACCATCTTAACGTTCTTCTCTCTTCTTCAATTCCCAATATATATATATATATATATGTGTGTGTGTGTGTGTGTGTGTGTGTGTGTGTTGGTATAGATAGATAGATATACGAGAGATATGTGTGTATGTATATATATAGACACTACAAGGAAAATGGATTTTAGAGAAGGAAGTTTTAGAGAAGGATTTGGAAGTGTATCTAAAGGTGTTGTTTAGGGAAGAAAATACATGAAAAAAGTGAAAAATGTACCTGAAGATAAGATGACTTTCAGAGAAGGATTTCAAACCTAATAATATTCTATGTATATCGGTCCTAAAGCTTTTAGAGACGCTTCTTATATAAAACGTCTCTAAATATCGACTCAAAAGCTTTAGAAACACTTTCTACATTTGTCGCTAAAGAATAAAATATTTTTATTTTTATTTTAAAATTAAACAAAAGGTAAAGCTTTTCTATTTTTAATAAATCAAATCTATATAACAAAAGTATTACTGAAAATCAAACGAAGAGTCAGAGAGGAGATACGAGAGTCCTCGTATGATTTCTCTTCGATTTTTCAACAATCGTTGTGATTTCTCTTTGCTTTATCTTTGATTTCGATCTTCGATTTCGTTTTTTGATTGAGTTTGAGTTCAATTTGTCTCATATGTTCGATTTAGGGCTTGAAGATTCATCGAGTTACAGTAGGCTACTTTAGTTTAGGGCTTGTGGATTCATCCACGTTAGCCGACTTCGGTTTAGGGCTTGTGGATTCATCGAGTTACGATAGGCGACTTCGGTTTAGGGCTTGAGGATTCATCGTAAGCGACTTTGAGTTTGTCTTCATATCTTCATTTTCATTTCTACTACTTGGTTTTGCCTTCTTATGTTTATAATGCAATTTCTTTTTTGTAATTTCTTCCGATATTGTTTGATCAATAGAGTTCAGAACAATGAGTAATTGTGGCACAAGCACTATTGGTAAATTGGAATGCCAAGGTTCGGCACAGTGAAATGAAAAAGTAGGAAACTATTAGACGACTGGGGCATCCAGTTGGAAGGGGAACTAAAGAGAACGGAGAAAAGAAACCGAGAATGTGCAGTTAACTTTCAACATGAGTGTTTGATGGTGGTTTTACGCTTCCCTTCTGAGTACTGATATCACATTCAGTGGGTATGCACTCATCGTAACTTAACTTTGCTAAACATATGGAATCATTGACATGAATCATTTTTTCTATTTGATCTATTACGAAATGCATGTATAGAAAATTAATCAACTGATGTTATCATCCTTTTTTTGTCATATCCTTGTATTGCTATTATCATTCTTCTTGGTAGGTACACTTATTTGGTCTTATTTTTCTTTTCTTTTTTTGTCTTGGACTTAGGCATAAACAATTTAGCAACCATCACATCTTCATGCATGTTTAAGGGTCATTGATTATAAAAGCTCATATACATTATTGTAACTTTAACCTGGCCTTGTTAAGGATTTGATTTGCAAATAATAGGCACCATAAGTTGTTATCCGGACAACCCAGTCAGTCCACTCTTTACACCTAAAGAATACGAGAACTTTTAGGATCTTTTTTCTTAATTTTGCAGTGGGTTGGGGGTGGGATTTAGGGACACACCTATGGTTGTTAATATTGTTGTTCACCCACAAGATATACAATATTTTGCAGTCTATTTTCATGGCGAGGTTTTAACATGTTAAAAATAGTCAATTATTACTATACTGTTAGTTGTATTCTTGCATCTACTTTGGTGTTAATACTATTTTGGTAACCGATATTTTAGTGATTTATCTTAGTAGACTGGCTACGCCAATGGGCAAACACCATCACTCCTACATAAGTGAATTCTTATTACCACTTCTTTTCCCATAGCATTTTATCTCATGTTTTGTAACATTCGTGTTTCGAGTTTTGAAATAAGATTTTTGAATATATATATATATATATAGGGGGGAAGATCAAATGTTAACCAATAACTTTGTGTTAACTTTGAAAACCATGRCAACCAATCAAATTCCATTCTTCTTGTAGGTTTATGTCATGCTCACATTTTAATTACAAGGGTATTTCAGTAAATTTATTTGATATGTAACTCCCAAACAATTAATGGGGAGTTACAAATCATCAAATCCCAAAAAATATACATTTATAACATTAATAATTTTTTTTAATTTTGATCTTTCATGTTTATTGTTTTATCAATTTTTAATTCACATAGAAAACACGGTAGTAAAAATTTTCGGTATCGATCAAGCTAATATAGATAAAGGCAATGGAAAATAAATCGACAACAGTGAGAAAATTAAAATGGTTTATGATGACAATCGGAGTTCGAGGTCGGGAATTGAAGAAATTAGCCAAAGCAAATGTCTTGGTAATAGATTTTTATTTTTTTTAGATTCGTTTTAATCGAAATTATGTTCATTACGATGTGTTGTGTTTTTTATAACTCATCTTGTATTGATATCTTTTTTCTTTAATTATTAAAATACATACCTAATTCACATGTTCAAATGGAAGTACATGCACGACCCATTTTCATATTGTCATATTACCGACTTTTATGAATCATGAACCATTGTGTTCATGTTACTTCTATCATATGAACACAAATGCTTTTTTTAAGTTTGATACCAAATCTTTATATTTGTGTAAGTGTTTGCATCTGGTGTTCATAACGTTGGGGTTATGTGTTCATAACGTTGGGGTTATGTGTTCATAACGTTGGGGTTATGTGTTCATATATTTTATACGATATGAACAAGAGGTGAACACGATATGAACAAGGGGTGAACAACCATATAAGATCAGAAACATATATGAACAAGGGGTAAAC